GTTTGGTTTGGTTTTGAGACAGTGTCTCACTATGCAGCCCAGGCTGGCCTCAAACTTGTGGCAGTCCTCCAGCTTCAGCCTCCTGAGTGCTTGGATTATAAATGTGGTAACAGATTTGTAGCCCAGCATTCAGGAGGCTGAGGCAGGAGAATCACCATGAATTGGAGGCCAGCCTGGGCTACATAGTAGCTCAGTCCATCCCTTCAGGCTCTTAACCACTCCCTCCTGATTTCAAGGCCAGCCTGTGCTACATAGTAAGACCCCAAATAGCTCAGCAGATTAAAGCGCCTGCAGCACAGCCTGCCATGCCGGCCCCGCCCCCAGGGCTTGCTGAGATGGCAGTTGAGACTGGGTTTGGTGGCGCATGCCTGTAATCCCAGCTCTTGGGAGGCTATAAACAGGCAGATCACTACAAGTCCAATCTAGTAGTGAGACCCTGAACCCCTGTAGACCCTTCCCTAAAATGCAAAAAAAAAAAATTCTTTTACCCCAGTTTGAATCTGCAGGTGCAGAACCAGTGATATGGAGAGTCCTCTTATACAGTATGTTCTAATTCACTGACACCACTATCATATTGGGGTGGGAGGTTTCCGTGACTATCCCCATTACAAATAAACTGAGGCACAGAGGCCCACCAGGGACCAAAGCAAAGTCACAAAGCTGGGATATAGCCCCAGGCCACCTGGCTCCAGGCCAGTGCTCTTAGCTTTCCCCCCCACCACAGACGGACCCCTTCCTGGGAATGATGATGGGCCTAGGAGGCGGCATGGACTTTGACTCCAAGAAGGCCTACAGGTGAGGCAGGCCTGGGCTGGGCAGTAGCTGGTAGGGGGGTGGAGCTGGAGCTCTGACTCTCCTGCCCACACCACAGGGATGTGGCCTGGCTCGGTGACTGTGACCAGGGCTGCCTGGCCCTCGCTGACCTCCTTGGATGGAAGGTGAGGAGTTAGGTGACCCCAGCCCACCCTGAGCCCAGCTGCCCACCCCCATTGGTCTACAGTAACCTCTGACTTGTGCAAATGTTTGCCCCTGCAGAAGGAGCTGGAGGAACTGGTCCGGAAGGAACATGCCAGCATTGACGCCCAGTCGGGGTCAAGCGCTCCCAACCCCACCACCACAGCCTCCCCTGGGAAGTCCCCACCTCCTGCCAAGGCTGAGGCCAGGACCACAGAGGCACAGAAGCCCCAGTGACAACAAACCTCCCAGCAGGAGACCCAACCCCCACCAGCCCCCTCTAACCTGGACCCCTTGTCTGAAGAGCTCAGTCCATCCCATCAGGCTCTTAACCACTCCCTCCTGATGTGGGGACCCCAGCTTCTCCCCACGGATCTTGGCAAGTTTCTAACACCCCCTAGGGGCCAAGGCCTGAGCAACCTGTCTCTAACAGCCCCAGTCTCTAACCACCCCAGATGTAAGAAGCAACTTCTCTTAATCTCTAACTGCTCCCAGGGGCATCCCAAGACCCCTGTCCCAGGACAGGGGGCTGAGGGCCCACTACCCTCTCTGCTGTTCCCGGGGGCCTGTGGTCAAGTAAACCAAATCTAACCTCCAGATGGGGTGTCGGCCCTCCAAGTACAACACCCCATGGGTGCCTGAAGGGCTCCTGAGGCTCTGCCACCAACACCCAAGATGGGTGCTGGGCCTCTTCACCCTGGGACCCACTTCCCATGTGGTGTGGGCAGAAGACTTTACCTATTGGAGATAAATTAAAAAACCCAAAACCAACTAACCCTTGGCTGTCTGGCCTCTTTGTTCCTTTCTTGGGCATCTGGAGCAGCGGGAGGGAAGGGGTGAAGTCCTGGGCCCCCCACAAGCAGACCATCTCCAGGCTCTTAGGAGCAACAGAGAGGGCTACTGAGAGGGGCCCACAGCCTTCAGGCCCGCGCCCCGGAAAGAGGAAGGTTCCTTTCTGATGCCCCCAGCCCCGCCTCTTCCCCCTCCCTGCTCAGCTTCCTCTCTTGAGAACACTTTCACTTCCTTTTGCTCCGGGCCTCCCCTTGGGAACAGGTAGGGCCCCCAGGGACCCAGCATCTGGCATCTTCGCCCCCAGCTGCCACCCTCTGGTACTGGGCAGCTGTTCCCATCCAGCTCTGCCCAGCACCGCCCACGTGCTCCTCCCCCTCCCCTGGGCCTTGGGTGGGCACCTGCCTCCTCACCACCTTTTTCCTTCCTGCCATCCCTGCTTTACTTCCAACACCCTGGGCAATGGGGCAGCAGGCTGATGTATTTGACTGTATCTTATCTCTACTGCAACTCTCTCAAAAAAAAAAAAAAAAAAAAAAAAAAAAAAAAAAAAAAGTCCTGTTTGCCACCTGCTCCAGGGTACTGGCACCTCCCTGCAGGCCTGTGCTCGGGACATAGGGAGGAATTCATTCTTTTTTCCCAGACCCAGGGGGCCTATTGCTGAGACTGCTGCAGGCAGGGAAAGCACTTAGAGTGCTAGTCCCAGACTCTCTGTGCCTGGCTCAGAATTAGGGTCTGATGAACAGATAGATGGACAGAGGAACAGATGGGTGGAAAAGCAAGCAGGAGTCAAAACATTCACGGCAGAATCCAGGCAATAGATGTTCTCTAGGAAATTCTTCCAGCTTTTCTGTATGTTTTTAAATTTTTGCAAGACAAAGTGGAAAGAAAGTATTCTGGTCTCCCGCCTGCTGTGGTCAGGGAAGAAAGAGGAGGGCATGTTGCTCGAGGTGGCAGATGCATGTTGTGCCTCCTGTGGGCCAACGTGTTCCAGACTGGATTTAGCAAGGAGTGTTATTGAGCTGGAGCACATTTCTACGGATGCCATGGCCGTGAAAATCTTGGAATGTTCCTGATCCTGCAAATAGCTGCTGTTGTGAGCCCCTTTCCCCAACGTAAGACATGTCACCAGCCTTTCTTTTAGTGATACCCCAGCGCCGGCATCTGGAGAATAAATCCCTGGCCCAGCCAGGTTCACCAGGACCCATGCTGTTGCTCAAGGTTATAAATATTCTGCATTTTAGCTCAGGACTGGGGCAGCCTTGAACCTTATCTTCCTGTCTGCCCAAGGCCAGACTATGGCTCACTGGCTTCCAGCACCTTGAAGATGGCCTCGCCAGGGGACACTGCCTCTGCAGGCCCCAGTGAGGGGCAGAGGTGAGGGCTGCTGGAGCACAGCGAGTGATCCATATCATCCCTGACCCAGAAGGACCCTGAGCCCACCTCTGACTGTCCCTGGGCAGCCCCTTCTGCACCTTTAGCGCTGTGTCCAACTGCCTGTTTCTGATCCCTAACCTCCTGCACCCTGCACATCCCAGGCTGGTCCTACCACAGACTAATGGAGCAGGTGAGATCCCCCTGGGGGTCCTCAGCACCCCAGAGCCACTTCTTCGCCTCCGGAGGACTTGGGGGGTATGGCAGGTCCCAGAGCTGGATGCCCCGGATGCGGAGGCTCTTATGGTGCAGTGGCCACTGGGGGTGAGTACTCCCAGCCAGGGACCTGTCCTGCCTCTCCCAGGACATGTTGGGTCAGCCAGAAGCATTTTGGGTTGCTAGTGACAACAATAGCACTAATTGGGAAAGTAAAAAAAGTTACACATTGGTCCAAAAGACAGAAAAATAAAGTTTTAGGGAGGGCTATACCCTAAGGATCAAACATCGTACAGATTTCTCTTCATCTGATTTCTTGGTTTTGCTTTCAAGGGTGGGGAACTCTAGATGTTTGGGGCTGTGAGTATCAAATGTCCATTCCACAGGCATGGAGCTTTCTAATGTAGCCAGGAAGGCAGCTGCCAGCTCGACTTCAGCTGCTCCCCAATTCCTGGGACTTCCCTCATGGTGACTGAGGGACTGTCCCAGGGCTCTCACATGTATATCCTGAGCAGGAAGCCAGGACACACCAGCTGCATCTGTTTCTTTGACCAGGAAAAGCTCAGGCTGTGCCAATGGAATGTATGGCCAGGGCTCCAGGAGCAGGGCTTTGTAAATCACTGGGTAATACACACCCATAGCCGAGAAAACCTCTTTTCTTACACATTTCATATAGTTCAGCACATTAATCCTTTTTTTTTTCTTTTCTTTTTTTTTTTGGTACCGGGGATTAAACTCAGGATCTTGTGCTTGCTAGGCAGGCACCTATGCTGCTGAACTATCTCCCTTTGTCTTTTTGAGACAGGGACTCACTGTGCAGTTCCAGCTGGCCTTGAGCTCACTTTGTAGCCCAGGCTGGTCTCAAACTCACAATTCCTCTGCCTCAGCCTCCTGAGTGCTGGATTACAGGCATGTGACAACCATGCCCAGCCAGCCCAGTAATCCTTGAATAAGGATTTTCCCAAGGAATGTGGGATTGATATGGAAAGGACAACAGGTTACCACAGCTCCCTTCTTGGTAGGGCACTGTCCCTGTTAAGGTATAATGGCTGTCCCCAGGTTGGAGATCTCTCCTACCACTTTAGCAACCTTAGTGCAAAAAGATGCTGTTTGGGTAGGGATGCAGCTGATCAGTAATGTGGCTGCCTAGCATGTACAAGGTGCTGGGCTCCAAGCCAGCCCTGCCAACAGAAAGAAAAGCTGGCTGAGGTGTGGGTGGCGTCCTGGTGCCAGCGCAGGCATAGGCCCAACCTGTAGGCTTGGAAATCTCAGTCCCACCCCATGGACTGAGTGCAGGGGGTTTTCCTAACAGGAAATGGGTGCCAGGCAGGCAAAAATAAACACGTGTGTACATCTCCCTCAAACTGACCGTTATCACCACCCCCTAGAGTTTCCTGGTCACAGGCCCTGACTCTAGCCAGGCCCTGGTACTGAGGACTTCACCCGGAGAAATCAACACCTATCGGATCCAGACGTTCCCTGGAGGTGAGGCCCCCACTCCAGGCTTCTAGTCCGCAGCACACATACCATCAAGAACTGTTAGCTGTACTTCCAAAATACCTCCTGGTTTTTCCTTTCTTCTTTTCTTTGAGACAGGGTCTCATTACGTAGTTCATGTTGGCCTTGAACTCACTTTGTAGCCCAAGCTGGAATTGAACTCACAGTCATCCTCCTGCCTCAGCCTCCCAAATGCTGGCATTACAGGCATGCACCACCATGTTTGGCTCATCCTTTTCTTCTTGCATAGCAACCAGGTGGTGTGTACACCTTGACCCAAACCCTGCAAAGAGCAGGCCACCTCCTTAGACACAAATTCAAGCTCAGAGTGGCCTAGAAGATGCTGTGTGGCATAGGCCTGCCCACCTCTTCATCTCCTGTCCCATTGCCTCTGTCCCAGTACACGCTCCCTGTTCCCTGACTATGCTAAGTATGGGCCAGCTATAGGGCCTTGGCTTCTGTTCTCCCAGCAGGAACCCTCTTCCTCAAGCAGCTGATTAACCTTCCTTGACTCCCACTGTTCAAACAGCCCCTAGTCATTTTTATTCCTTTTCATCAGAAGCACTATATACAATATACATGTATCTGTTTATTCATGTTTGTGTCTGCCCTAAAAAGGAAAGATAGAAAGGCAGTGAATTTGCCTCCTATTGGACAGTTGTATCCTCAAATGCCTGGTGATAAGTAGGTATTCAATAAATAGTTGTTTTAACTAGGTACGGTGGTGCCTGCTTGCAATCCCAGCACTCTGGGAGGCTGAGGCAGGAGGATTACAAGTTAGAAGCCCAGGCTGGGCAATTTAGTCACTTAAAGAGATCCTGTCTCAAATTAAAAAAAAAAAAAAAAAAAAGCCTAGGAATGTAGGTCAATGTGGCAGCCCTAGTTTTAATCCCCAGGACCTAAATAAATAAGTAAATATCTAACAAATCCTATCTGGTGGCATAATCGGGATCCAAGAATTAAGATAAGGAAGGGATGAGGACTCTGAGGGAGTGGAAACTTCTCTGCTGTGACAGTCCCTTTGAGGGATTTCAGGGACAGGGGAGAGCCCAATGGAGGAGAAGGCTGGCACCCTCGAGTTTTCTTTCTCATTCCTCCTTCCCTTCTCACCCCAGGTGTGTCCTTGGGATCCTCCAACCTCTGCATGCCAGACCTGCCCCACCTTCTGGCCTTCCTATCAGCCAGCAGGTACAGGTTACCCACCAAGGGTGAGGCGGGCCCTTCCCCAAGATGCCCATCCATGGTGTGGGACTCCTGTTTTCCCCAGGGATGTTCTGCCCAGAACACTGCTCCTGCCGCCTCCCACTATGGTGTCTGGAGACAAACACACAGGTGAGGCACAGTTCTTGAAGGAAAGGTTCCCCAAGGCCCAGCAGTGAGGTTGAACATGAGGGACCTGGCTACTGGGTTTGACGGAAGGTGGGGCTGGGGATCAGGAGGAGGGGATGGGAGCCTGGACTCCTTGATCCTTAGGGCAGAGACAGTTGAAGGACGGAGTTGGAGGAACTCAACTCCTAAGCTTGAGGAAGGCTGGGAACTGCGGCTCCTGGTGGCCTGAAAAGACCAGGGCTGGGCCTCAACCCCCTGCAACACCCTCTGGCTTCTGCGGGCCCCCAGTTCCTCTGCAGGTTGGCAGGGCCCAAGCTGAAACCCCAGGGAGGGCGCTCTCTGTGGTGAACCAGCTCTACCTGCACACCCATGGAGGCTGGGTGCTGGAGAGGGGCCCCGAGGAAACTGCCCAGGACCGCAGTCCAGGTGAGTAGGAACGCGTGGGCCCCTGAGGACAAGGGCAGCCGCTACAGACTCCCACCCCCACCCCTCCTCCAGTCCGCAGGAACCCCTCACCGCACAGGGTCTCCTGGGTGGAAGACCCGCTTAGCCCGCGAGCGCACCAGCCTCAGCCCACTCTGGCCAGTCTGGTGGAGAAGGAGGAGCAACAGGGAGACCAGGACAACTACAGGGATGAAGATGAAGATTTCGAGGATGAGCTCACCGTTCACATCCGCACTCTGGCCAGAGCACGGAGCAGCTACGTGGCCAGGCAGTATCGGGCCCTACGGGCGCGCCTCGCCTCAGATTTCAGGGGTCCCAACAAGCCTGGGGACCCGGCAACAGAGCTGCTGCAGGATGTGCGGCACCTCCTTGCGGACCTTCAGGAGTACTTGGCAAAGGACCCCGACGTGAGATCTATCTTTGGTAGCAGGGGGCCTGGAGGGTCCCAGAAAGACAATGATCTTGGTAATGGGGGAGACTAGCAGGGATCCCCCGCGTAGGTGTGCTGCCGCCTGGCCCCCGCACAGGTGTACACACCCGGGGCCTCTCCCACTCGCACGCCCTTTCCAATTTAGAGCAGCGCTTGCTCGCCTCGCGCTTGTGTGCTGTGACCGCGGTACCCTGAACTCCTAGCCCATGCTGGCACGTCTGTCTACACTAGCGGGGGCCGGGGTGGGTCAGCTCGGCGGCCCTGCCCTCACCCGCCCCGCCCCCTGCCCCCACCCCCCGCACCTACAGGCCCTGCGGTGGAGACGGCCGTGTGCCGCGTGGTACTCGCGCCCCTCAAGCCTACCCTGTGGACGCGACTGCGCACGCTCCGTGCCCAGGAACTGCGTCGACTGCGGCGGCGACAAATAGCCTTGCGGGCGGGGACGGGACCCGAGGGACAGAGCCCCGCCCCCGCCCTGCGGAACCGCATCCACGCGCGCCTGGAGCACCTGCACGCCGCATGCTCACCGCGTCGCAAGGTGGCGCTGTTGCTGGCAGCGTGTAGCGACGTCTAC